AAAAGCTGTCATCTCATTGTTTTCCTTCACTGGCATAGGGGCTGCTGTGGGTTTATATACCCTGTCAGTTCAGTAACATGCTAAGCTTTTAACCTTTTCTGGGATTCATGTCTTGAACAATCTTCTATGAACTCTATTATGAAATAACTTCTATTTTCTTTAATCAACATTTGTTATTAGTTAAGATTAATTTTTTTTAAATTTTGAATTGTTGAGCTCTTTCAACCCACAGTTAAAATGATCCAGTTCTAAGATTTTGTAAGTACCCTATGTTTTAAGCAGAAATTTTTCATCATATCAAATATTTTCATAGGTTTCTTAAATTAGTTTAAATTGACTGTTCTTAAACACAGTATAAATCCAATTTTTAAAGATGTTTAGAGGTTCATATTCTTAAGTTTATATACATATACATACACACACATATACATATCTTTGCACATGCAAATATATTTACCAAAATACACATATACATGTATATACACATGTAGGTATCCATCAATTTATCTTTGGGAATGGTTAAGTCAATACTAGACTATTACTAAAGAACCCATGTAACCATTGAATAAATTCTTTCTGACAGCTATTAAAAATCACTATATTTTGAAACCTATTATTCATTTGAACCAGATTAGATTTAAAAGAATCTAAGGAATTTGCCAGTTTTTATGACTCCTGATCATGAAACATGTCTTCCATATCATATCCAACATATTCTTGGCACTATATAAGTGTAATTATTTAACTTTGATTTAAATTATTATTTGACTTTTCTGTGTACTAGCCCTGTAGTTAGTAATGGCAAGGGAAATGCCCCATACACAAAAGAATAAGTACTTCTATTTTCTTACTCAGCATTCATATTTGATCCATAGAATTCTGCTGAAATTTCCACATGATCACCTTAAATCCTGATTTCTTCATTACTTAGAACAAAATGATCTTGCATTCACTCTAGGAACGACTTTGGATATAGAGATTTAGACTTAAGAGGTAGATGCCAAAAAGAATACATTAACTCAGAATAGTGGCAAAAATTCCTCATTCTCTATTCCTTTGTAACAACCTCTAATGACTCCAACAACTTTTTTTGAAAGAAAGTGTCTATTATTTAACAATTCACTGAATTGCAAATTTGTGTGAAAAAGGTAAGAAAATCTAACAAATTATAAAGCAAGTACATAAGCATTAATGCATAAAAGCTAATCTTCATTTTGCTATGAAAAATATAAGACATAAAAGGCAAAAAGGCTATAAATGAGTTTTGGAATCGCCAACATAGCTAAACTACAAGTTAATTCCCATTACAATGATCTCCAAAAGACTGTAGAAGAATATTTCTTTAACCAAATGCTCCAATAAAAAGATCATCTCCTAAAGCTTCAAATTTTCTTATAAACAATACTGAAATTTGCTATATTTCTTATAGTAAGATACGATGTTTTGTAACTTCTTGATTCAAATGGTTCCTTTTGTTAAAACCAGAAAGAAATGACTAATTGGGTGATTTATTTAAAGATTTTGTAAGTAGCCATGGCAATTAACATATAGGAGAAAAAAAGAGTTGTTTTTTTTAAAGTATAGTTTCTTTCCTAGGGAATGTACTAAAATTAATAAGAAGTTAAGATATTTAAGGATTCAGAGATAAAATCAGTATTTAAGAAGGATGTACTTGTTGGCTAAATGATTGAAAAATGGCTTGGGTTTCACCTGCTCTCTTGCTAGAGTTATAAACAAACAACAAAAGGACCCCTAAATAGTGGGAGATTAGATGAGGAAAAAATCAATTTTGAACAATTCATAAACTGCTTGGTTAAATAAACCCTAAATAATCAGGTTTTTAAATATTCAGAGTTTATTATATGCTATAAACATTCTTAAATATCAGAATGATTTGCTAAGAAGGGCTATGGATGTCTGCTGACAAAGGTCTGTATAGGATGACCTCAAAAGATCTCCCTTATTCTTGGGTTATATAAACCTAATTTCAGCACTCCCAATTCTACATAGCCCCCTACTCAAAAAAAAAAGAAAAGAAAAGAAAAAATATATAATAGAAACTCACACTTAAGGAATTAGAATTATTATTACTACCATGAAATACGGACAATACTGACTAGTTTCAAAGCAATATTTATTTCAGAGCAATATCTATTTTAGATATGAAACTTTACATACTGTTTATCATTTTTGTAGGGTATAGTCATGCAGTGAAGCCAAGGTAAACATCTTATGGACCCTGTTAAGTTTTCAAATAATTTTTTTTAAAGTTTTATTCAGGAAGAGTCCTTATAAACAACAATTGCTGGTTTATAAACTGAAATTTTTTAACTCCAAGTTGAAACAAAAGAAACAGCCTCATTAAATGTGAACTCAGGGACCTAAACTTACAAACTAATGACAATATATGTACAAGCTACCAAACAAAAAATAAAAGAGACAAAGGCAAGTATGGTAAACAACCTATGCAGTTTGTAAAAATCAATAGTAGAAGACAATATTCTGATAATTTGTTACTTTTGCCAAGGTATCATACATGAGCTGCCAGGCATTCCTACGAAACAACATAGGGACTGTCTAAACAATGGACTACTATTGGTCTAAGTATACCACCAGTACCATTTTGAGCAGAAAGAATTGCTATGACCCTTCAGCAACACAAACCATTTCTTCTCTTCTATTTGGTATGCTATTCAGTAAGAAGAAAGGATAAGGTAAGGGAACAATCTGTTTGTGTCATCCTCTAAATTTCATCCTTACAACCTAGGTATATTAAGAAATGACACACCTGAGTTTTGATGATAGCTTAAAGACCTAAGTGAATTTAAGCATATAATCAAAATACTTTATTTTAGAAACATGAATTTTTAAAAGTGTCGCTAATTTAATATGGCAGAACCCATGAACACAGATGATGAGACAGTAAAAAAGATATACAGAATGGTATAAAATAATAAGGGTATATATGAAAATAAATAATTACTATGGGAAGCAAATTCAAATTATCGGTTCTCCAGCAAATGTACATTTATTATTAAATCAAATGAGAGAAATTGTAGTTAACGAGTACAGTGCAGCCTTCATGTCCTAAAATCTCAAGTTCAAGCACTGCTACTCTCTCAGCATAGCAAACAACCTGTGAAGACCAGAAATTACAGACAAGTTGCTAATCTGTATGAATGAAGGGATTTCCCACATTAGAAGTTTTCAAAACTAATGAAATCACCATTTAGGATTCTCCCTTTCCGAAAAAAAATAGGTCAAAAATATTTGATTTCCTTTACCAAATGAGGTACTACTTTTTTAAAAATATCATATTTCACAAAGAATAGTTTACTTAAATCCAAAGGAAGAATCTGTCTATAATGGCATTCATTTCAAAATGTAAAAAAGTATAACAATACTGGTGGTTCCTCCTATTAGTTCTAATTCTTACTTACAACATCACTAATGTGAAAATGTGTTTAATAGGAACATATATGCATAGCCTATATCAAATTGTGTGTCGTCTTAGGGAGGGAGGGACAGAAAAATTTAAAACTCAAAAGCTTATAGAAGTGATTGCTGATAAATTAAAATAAATTAATAAAAAAAAATTTTAAAGAAAAAAAATGTAACAATAAAGCACAGAATGAAAAACATTGTATTTCGACAAGCCCCTTCAATATTAAAGGGTATTTAGTCTCAAAATGCTACCTGGTTACCAACTTTTACTGGTCAAATCAAAACCAAATTCATTCACCCATCTGTTCTATGTGATGAATAAAAAAGTTGACAGACAAATCAAGATATTGGTACAAACCGTAAAACTGTCCAAACAAAACTGTTCTTTTAAAAATGAATCCTGACATTAACATTTAAGAGTTAATGCAAAGGAGAATAAGCATATTACTTTAAAAATATCTATCCAATTTTCATGATGAAAATTAACACCATACAATTCTCAATAAAATATGACCCACAGATGTATATGATAGTCCTGAAATAAATTACTTTCTTGCTCTAAGAATAAAGCTTTTAAACAGGATATAATTTCACTGTATTCTATGAAAATGCCTACTTTCGCATATAACAATAAACTCTGTGCTTCCAAAAAAAATTGACGGTTCACAGAATTTATGAATGAAGCAGTAAAACACAAGGAGACAAATACTGATATAACAACTGCATGACAAAATGGAACAACAGAGTCTTAAATGTAATACAAAGAAAATACCTGAATTTTACAATAAATACCTCTTCTAAAAGGTTGATTTCAGGTGAATAACTAGATAAACATGTAATTTACAGTTTTATTTTCCTTTGTCATTTCCTAAAGGTGTTTTATTTGAGACTTGTGCAAAAATGAATTAAGATGCTAAAAGGATATTTTTTTTTAAAGTAAGGACACCAATACTAAATTTAGTTCTGAATTTTTCTGTCAAGGAATAAGATTTATTTAGTTTTAAACTCCAGTAAACAACAACTCATGAAAGCTTGTAGTGACTTTACTGCCAAACTAATTTTCAATTTTGTATTTACCTGCATAGATTCTGTCTCCCTTAGTAAGAGGCAAACTCTGTGAGGGCAGGAAATGTCTCATTTTTCTCTTTATATTTCCAGCATCAAGCACAATGTCTGGCACTTAATATATGCTTGCTGCATTTAAATGAGTGATGTTCAGAAAAAGTATTTATTGATTGGTATTTCAAAGAGATGAATATGATGAAAAAAAATGAGAAAAATTCAGAATGTCAAATCTTCATTGCAGGGGGAACTTTCTAAAGAAATTTTTTGGCTCCTATTCCCTTATTTTTCTTTCTTTATTTAACAACAAGATAACTTAATACAATGTTTCATGTAAGAAAACTAACTTACAATTTGAAGATTAAAATATACTTCAGTACATGTTAAAATTCTGAGCCCACACATTTCATGAAACTGAATACAACTGAAAATGTAATTACTAATACATAATAAAACAGAACTAAAAATATCAAAAAAGAAATAATTTCACTTACATCCATAGCTCTCTTAATATAAGGTATCTGTGTGCCACTGTCCAGATCTTCATTTATAATAAGCTTTCTAGCCCATTGACCTGCCCTGACAACACCACTACCATGAATTAAAACCATCAGTTTGTCTGGATTAGTCATTGCATCCTCACTCATAAAGATAAAATTCTTTGGTTCACTCTCAGTAGCATCTACCTGTAATTAAAAAGAATTAAATAATGAGTACAAATTTTATGTTTCTGCATAAATAAAAATGGCTGTTATTATAAATTACAAAACAAAGATACCCACATATCATATTGACATCACAAAGCTGTGAAATGAATTACAATGTAAAACATTCATCTGAAATTTAAATTACATTTTTAGACTAAGAAACAAGAAAGGCATAATGAAGTACTTTAGTATGATGTTACGAAGAAGGAAGTGAGACTCTAAATGTTGTTCTTTATTTAAACCTACAAGAAAAAAGATCCAATTGGAAGTATATTTGTAGATGGGGAAACGAATCTTTTTTGCTAGAAACAATAACTAATGCGTAAAGGAACAATAGAAAGTTATTGAAAACTTCCCAAAAGGTGACTGTCACCTAATACGGTTTCTATACTTCTCTTCCATGATATCCAGGTACACAAATTTTGTTCCCTGTTCCCTATATATGTAGTAATTAATTCATGAATCAAAATTATAAGCCACTCTATTGTAAGCATTTATTCATTAGTTATCTATGATTATATTAACCTATAATTTTATGATATTCAACACTTTTTATAAAATGTCTGGTATATCATCTAGTCTTACTATTCTCTGAAGGATAACTATTTTGTTAGAAGATAATTTTAAAAAGGAATTTCTCAGCCTTGTGAGAACTATATTGTGACACATAAGTCAACCCAAAAGAAAAGATAATCTGAGGCTTTGATATGCATTTAACATAGAAGTTGACCCTAGAGTGTAGTGTAGTGGAAAGAACAATGGATTTGAAGTCAGAAGACATGAGTTTGAATTCTGATCACTCTTCCCCCATTTACTTATTGTGTGACCACAACCTCTCTCAGCCTCACTCTCATATTATCTGTCAGTGATATAATACTTCATTACCTACCTCACAAGATTGTTGTGAGAAATGAGATAAAGCACTTAAAGTACTTTGTAAATTATATTATGTATACTCTAACACATTATATAAATGTCAACAGTTATTACTAAGAATATTACTTCTTTTCTTCATACCCTCCCTAACCAGTTCCAGTTTCGATGGATAGTCTGACGCCACTGACTACTAAACAGGAAGACAGCTAGGGAATGAACCAGCTTCAGTGTGTCACCATCTATACCACCAATTCTTGCTCTGTTGTTGTGGAGCAGTGATATCCAGCCCAGATTTCCTCCATAAGTGCTGCTCAAAAATAACAGCAAGCAGAAACGGAGGGATGTGAGGGTTACCTATAAGTTCACTAGACACTACTGCTTTGAAATGACAATAAACTCAGACAGAAGTGGACTTTAGGAATCACGGTACCTGGTATGCCCCATACAAAAAAAAAAACACAACCCCAATTTGATGGAAAGTTTCAACTCTAAAAAATGTTGATTTATGTGTTGGATAACATGATTTTTTTTAAACTTCTTCATTAATACTAATAAATTATTACGAGAAAATTTTAGAAAAGTTTAGCTGCAAAGGCCAAAAAATACTCTTAGTTTCCAAGTTTTTGTTGCTATTATCACCACCATCATACACCAAAAGAAAAAAAGGATAAGAAAAGAGAAAAGAAAAGGTTGAAGACTGAGTTCTATTTCAAACTTCTGCACTCTTCAAATTATTTCATCAGTTCTCAATGATGCTCTTATTGTGCAGTACCTATACAGACAAATTTTTTAAATATCAACTATTTATGTTGGGCTGTATTAAAATATTAAAGATTTCTTATCATTATCTCACATGGGGAAATACCAAGAATCAAAACAGTACAATAGTCTAAAAAGACAACTAGTAGATACAGAACTCTAACCAAGCTTTGTCACTGACTTCAGAGGCAGGTTATTTTTTCAATCAGGTTAGATGATGTTCCTCTCACCAGTGGAGACAAAACTTTCCTACTTCAGAAAGCATATTAAGATGATTAATAAATGCATAATCACAAAGCAATTTGAATGTAAAGGACTCAATATATGGGAAATATTAAAAGGAAATAATGATAGTCTCATTATTAGTAACTGTGCAGAAGTAAAGGCATGAAGCTTAGCAAAATGACATCAATTTTACATGCATCAGATATCTACAACAAGCAACAGTAGATAATAAAAATGGATATGACTGAAAACATGGAAAATAACAAAAAAACCAAAGGACAAAAAAGAAGATAAAATAAAAACGACTGCTACCAAAAAGCATATTATACACAGAAAACAGAAGCATGAATTAGAAGGCAATGAGAAAACAAATTGTAAAATAACATAGCTGTCAGTTTACACTGTACATCAGTCAACATTTTTAAATGAGACATTTCTAGCCACTCCCTTATCAAATATGTAAAAATTGTAGTACCAATAAACTTCTAATGAAAGTCAGTGAGGCTTCTAATTACTAAAATAAAAGAATTTATCAATAAGGTTCTTGTCTCTAACACCAACTACCATTCATTTTCTCATTTCTTTTTTTTACTACAGTTGGTCAATTTGTTTTTTGGCAGCAAAGGACTTTGAATCAATTTGTCAAACACTGATAATACTGAGTTTATAAAGTCCAGAATAAAGAGTTTAACATCAAAATACAGTTAACCTTCTTTAGAATGCAAAAATATAATTGTGTTCTATTTAAAATGTTACTCAAAAAGATTTTTGAAGGTAACCAAGTCAAAATGCACATATTAATTTTAGTTGAGTAAAGGAGAGCTAGAGGATGATAGACAAAATATTTAACGAAGTTAAGACAATTAAAAGTAAATGAAAAATGACTTATGCATGATTTAAGGAGAAGAAAATGATTTTGAAATGATGATGATAGTAGACTTATTTTCCCCCTCAGTTTAATACAGCACTCTGAACCAATAAACTTGCTAACAATTACTTATTATACACAATTTAATTGTGCTAACTTTAAAACATAAAATATTATTATTTATGAAAATGTTTTTTAAAATTTCATTTCTTGACCTAATTAAATTTGGAACACCCCCCCCTCACCTTTTTTCCCAAACCAATTCATCTTCAAACAGTGGTAATTCATTAAACAAAGCTTTCACTAAGGAATGCACATAAAGGTCATTCTTTTGCACAACCTCACTTTATTTGCAAATCAACTTCAAATAACTATTCTACTCACAATGAGACTGCATAGAGCAATTTGTAGCTGTTAATGATTCAGTTTTGAATTGTTTTGAACTACCTTAATTCTGATTTTTCATCAGAACATAATATAATGAATGAAATGTTATAGTCATGTTGTTTAGCTGCCTTATTTCAGTCAACAATCTGTACAAACACAAAGTGAACTGTTAATAAATTTAAAATTTCTAATATTTTTCAGCTAGTATTTCACTAACTTCCATTCAGTCTGACAAGAAATTTCCATAATTTAAAAAAAAATACATTTTTTTTAGTCTATTCATTGGTAACCAGGGTGATTTTTAAATTTAGTATGTGATATATTATGGAGGGGGAAAAACATTTCATGCAGTATTGTCATTTTTTCTTTTGGAATTACCAAACTATATGAAATCTCACAATGAATCACAACGGATTTAACTCCAAAGATAATATGCATGTTCTTTCACATAAGCAACACTATATTTACTGCATTCTTATAAACTTAGTTCAGCATCAAAACATACTAGAAAAGCATGCCAACTGGCCCAGTGGCAATACTCTACACTACCTTTCAGGAGACCGGGTGCAATATCCAGCCCTGGTCTCTTTATGATCCAAGCCAGCAGGGCCTGAAAATGGAGCAAAAGTGGTGTTATTCAGTCCCTGAGATGGGGGACATTTGGCCTCACTTTACTCAACTGTGATGTTTGGTTAATATCCAAGCAGAACTGAGAGGCTAAAAAGGCAACTGAGAATTTTCATTTAACTAGAAACATGGTCATCATAGTACCAGGTGATGATGGGGGGAAAAATGCAACTGGGGAAGACTATAAGTAGGAATGGGAAATCAAGAAACAAATCACCAACAATATACAGTAAATTTTTAAGTGAAAATTATTAGGGGCATTCTTATGCCTTTTATTTTTAAATTCTGTAAGTTCTCAAAAAAACACCATCTAAAGAATAATTAATAAATTTTCTCTCTAAATTGTTTAAATCTAGTTTTAGAGAAAGGAATAATATTAAGATTCTTAGCCAACTGTTCTGCTTTTCTGAGAAAAAAGATCTAAATATCTAACACAAAAGATACAAGCTATGCCAGAGAGTCTGCTAACCAGCATCAGTGTATACACACAAAACCTTATTCAAGTTGAAGAAACCTCCCACTACAAAAGCTCACCAATCAGCTCAGGAGAAAAACAAAATAATGGGTTTTTTTAAGCCAGGAAGACTTATTCAAGAAATCAGATTTTGGTGTCATTTCTAGTTCTAGTTATTATCTAGTTCTAGATATTAAACCTATTAATATTTGGTTTGTATTTAGTGAAAAATTAATGTCTATGAATTTTCTTCAGGAGTCAATTCTTTTAAAATTACAAATACTCATTTTACTTTAATAATTATATATACCAGCAATATCATTTAATGCACATTAGAAATGTGTAAGAGTTCAAAGTGGTTACACCAATCCTAACTCCTGAACTGTTAAAGGGCTCAATCATTATGGTGGGATAGCAATGAACATGAAGTCCTTTAAGTAAATTATTTAATTTAGTGTAAGAAAATTTGAATGTCCTAAACTGTGGATATTGGCAACAGCCGAGCTAAAAGGAAGGTAAACCTAGAGAAATCAGGACTTGAAATCCTGATAAGTTCTCAGAAAACCTCCAAACTTGAATACATACACACAGTTCAATCATGCAAAACTGGACATTGGAAGAGAGAGAAAACAAGAGTAGGTTGGTGATTTTTCCCAGCCCTTCCTTGAGAAGAACAGGCTGAGCTGGAAGAAAGGGAAGAGTAGAGAAGGTGGTAATATCTGGAATTACCTGTGAGGAGAGCAACTTTAATATCTAGCCCTACTCTCTGATAATCAAAGCCAAGAAATCTAAAACTGGAGGGAGGAATGTGAACAAAAAGAAGGTTTGGAGAGATTAGTTGGAAAACAAATGTGTTTCATGTGTACAAGGAACTTGGTTTTCACATATTTCAGAAAGGAACAAAGTTGTGAATTAAACTGAAGCTTATAGTTATATACATGACTAGCTAAAGGGTTTCTGAGGTTTTTTGGGCCCTACTGAGAATAAAACCAAGTTCTTCCAAGGGAGTTTATAATGTACCATCAAATCTAGGGGTGAAAAGGCAGCAATTGTTATTAAATTCTCACATCCCTCAATTTTAAGAGGGTCCATGACAAGACCTTAGTGTTCTAATACTAAAACTTTTTCTTTGTAATATGCTATTAAAATTATTAATTTTGAAAATTAACAAAGAAGTTAAATTTCTGTTAATTTCTATTAATTCTATTACTAAAATTTAATGAAAATAAAACGACCCAAAAGGGTACTAGGTTAGTGACATAGTAAAATCATCATTTCTTAGTTTGGTATAATGGAAAGAGCCTAGGTTCAGAATAGAAAGATTTGAGTCTCAGCTCTGTAACTTAGAAGCTATACAATCTTGGGCAAGTCACTCGACTTCACTGGGACTAAATTTCCTCACCTGTAGCAGAGATTTCATAATATCTGCCTGTCTTACAAGGTTACTGTGAGGACCAAATCAGAAAAACATGTAAGAGTACTTTTTAAATTGTAAAGCACTATATACACACAAGTAATGCTGTTATTATTAGGGCTTTTATGGTCACGGCCTAAAATATTAGTGAGAAAGGACAAGATACTATATAGGCCAACTTCCTCATTTTACATCTAAAAGATACATGATTTTCTACAAGACAGAAAAGAGATTCTCAAACCTTTTCCTCAGCAGCACAACAATGTGCAACAATTTCAGAAAAGTATTCAATTCTGACAAAAAGTGAGAGTTGGTACTGCACATCAAATAAAAACCGGGGGGAAAGCTGGGGAATGAAAGTGGGGAAAAAGAGAAGAAATAAAGAAAAAATATAAAAGGAAGGGGAGAAATCAGAAAATTATCTGAGAATGCAAAATTATTTTCATTCTAAAGACAAAGAAGAGTACAGAGAAGATTCTTAACTTAGGCTGTTCCTTCGAAATATACAAATTCGTGTGCCAATCAAATTGAAAAGAACAGGGACAAATTGTGGCCCAAAAGTTCACTGAGTATCTATCATTCTTTTAAAAGGATGAGAATCTCTGGATTAAAGAATAATAAAAGTGAATTACCAGAACACCCCACACACATTTTATAACAATCAGAGAAGATAATATCCAATTACAATGTACACAGAGTAAGTTTACCCTAACGGTGTATTATTTTTCCCGAAGATAATAATGTAACATTATGTTAGAAGGTATCTTTAAAAAACCTATTCTGAATTATGTGTCATAAATATGATAAAATCTTAAAATTTGAATATAGGAAATTAAGATTTCTATAAGTTTCTTTTCTTAAATAAAAGTTACATATGAAAATATAAAAAGGAATAACTTTAAAAAAATAACTTACTGGAAGTGAGATTTTTTTCAAATTGCAATCCTTTTCCAAGAGCTCATATACATATTTAGTAATAATCTGTGTGGAGGGAAAGTTAAAAACACATTAAAACCTAATGCATTCTCATCCATTAACAAAATTCACGTAATTAGTTGCTTAATTAAAGATACACATTATGAATACACATATATGGTTTTATTTTACTCTTAACAACTAAGGGCTAGCACATCACTGTGGAAAGAGAACCAACCTCAAGAGTCAAGAATACTTGAGAATTCCACCTTTTTTGACTAAGCAACCCTAGGGAAAGGAGCAGAACACAGCAGAGAGTTACAGGTTCTCCTCATTCCCCCTCTTCTTTCCCTATTTTTTTTTAATTTTTTTGATTAATTAACTTATTTTTAGTTTTCAGCAATCACTTCCATAAGCTTTCGAGTTTTTAATTTTCTCCCCCTCCCTTCCCAAGACGGTGTGCTATCTGATATGGGCTCTACATATACATTCCTATTAAACATATTTTCACATTAGTCATGTTGTAAAAAATAATAAGAACCAACAGAAGGAACCACAAGAAAGAAGAAACAAAACAAAACAGAAGGAAAAAAAAGCAAATAGTATGCTTCAATCTGCATTCAAACTCTATAGTTCTTTCTCTGGATGCGAACACCTTTTTCCATCATGAGACTTTTGGAAATGGCTTAGATCCTTCCATTGTTGAGAAGAGCTAAGTCTCTCAAAGTTAGTCATCGCACAACATGGCTGTTACTGTGTACAATGTTTTCCTGGTTCTGTTCACTTCATTCAGCATCAGTCCATACAAGTCTTTCCAGGTTTTTCTGAAGTCTACCTGTTCATCATTTCTTATAGCACAATTGTATCCCCATTACATTCATATACCACAACTTGTTCAGCCATTCTCCAATTGATAGACATCCCCTCAATTTCCAATTCTTTGCCACCACAAAAAGAGCTGCTATAAATATTTTTGTACATGTGGGTCCTTTTCCCATTTGTATGATCTCTTTTGGATACAGCTCTAGGAGTAGTATTGCTGGATCAAACGGTATGCCCATTTTTATAGCCCTTTGGGCATAGTTCCAAATTGCTCTCCAGAATGGTTAGTTCACAAGTCCACCAACAATGCATTAGTGTTCCAATTTTCCCACATCTTCTCCAACATTTATCATTTTCCTGTTCTGTCATGTTAGCCAATCTGATAGGTGTGATGTGGTACCTCAGAGTCATTTTGATTTGCATTTCTCTAATCAACAGTGATTTAGAGCATTTTTTCATATGACTGTAGTTAGCTTTAATTTCTTCATTTGAAAACTGCCTATTCATATCCTTTGACCATTTATCAACTGGGGAATGATTTGTATTCTTACATATTTGACTTAGTTCTCTATATACTTTAGAAATGAGGCCCTTACCAGAGATACTGGCTGTAAAAATTCTTTCCCAGTTTCCTGCTTCCCTCCTAATCTTGGTTGCACTGGCTTTGTTTGTGCAAAAACTTTTCAATTTAATGCAATCAAAATTATCCATTTTACATTTCATAATGTTCTCTATCTCTTCTTTGGTTATAAATTCTTCTGTTCTCCATAAATCTGACAGGTAAACTATTTCTTGCTCTCCCAGACTGCTTATAGTATCAGACTTTATATGGAAATTGTGTACCCATTTTGACTTTATTTTGGTATACGGTGTAAGATTTTGGTCTATGCCTAGTTTCTGCCATACTTTTTTCCAGCTTTCCCAGCAGTTTTTCTCAAATAGTGAGTTCTTATCCCAGAAGAAGGGACCTTTGAGTTTATCAAACAGTAGATTATTGTAGTCATTGACTACCGTGTTTTGCATTCCTAACCTATTCCACTCATCCACCACTCTATTTCTCAGCCAAAATCAAGTAATTTTGATGACTGCTGCTTCATAATACAATTTAATATTCCCTATTCTTATTGCTGCCCTAATGTTTCTCTGTAATCTGGGCCCCCAGCCATGTCCCAGAAATGGGATGTTGAGAACCCCTCTGTGGAGACAGAAGAGGAAAAGCAGAAGCAATGAGGAGGCACTGAAGCTTTATGAGCAGGGAATGACATTAGACCTGGACTTTGGGAATATAAATTTGGCAGCCATATGAAGGTATGATTAGAAATGGAAAAGAAAGAGATGCACAGAGACAAATTAGGATGCTACTGCAATAGTTCAGGCCACACAGAAGAAGAAAAGTATTCTCCTTGAGAAAACTGAAGGGGCAAAGCTAAAGTTAATATTCAAGCCTAGTAAAAATGCCTGGAGCCTCTGACTTCCTCATGAAGAGATTCCAGAAGGGGCAAAAGTACTTCGACTTAGGAGTCAACACACAGCCAAACCCAAGAAGAAGAGCAAGCAGTTGCTAAGTTCAGCATCATATAAGAATGTGGTGACAGACGACCAAATCCCCATAACACATGATCTGACCCAGAGAAAGTCCTCACTTATCACCAGCATGAAGGTGACGAAGTTAAATGAAATTTCCTGGGGCTCTGGACAGACTCTAAGAACTGGCCCCTTGTGCAGGCTCCTGCTCCTCTCTGACTCTGTGGCTAAAGGGGTCAGAAGTTGGTCTGGATATAAGCAGAAGCCTCTGTATTGATGGGTAGCCTAACACATGGAGTCCCTCAGGTTGAGCACCAAGACCTTGAAGCATCTTTGTGCTTTATTTTTCCAAAACAGCTGCTGGGGAAAGAAAATCTTTATGAAATCCTGATGTGTAGTTGAGAGGACAAGGTTGTATATGGAGTAATATGAATTTAGACTTAGATCTAGACCTAGATTTTGCTGAATACCCTCTTGCTGTAGTCTGTAATTCTGATGGCTGAGTTTTGGAAGTTACTGTAGGAAAATGGATCTATAGGCCAGTTTAGCAGAAAAATGTCTCTTCTAATGGGATTGGTGCTAAGTGACTTAGTGTCATGTAAATGAGATTATCCATCCAGATCTAATTTCTACAAGCTCAGTTCCCTGGTCTCTATGAAGCAGATTGGGAACTTAATGCTAATATAATCAATCACTCTTGAGAACTGTTGGCACTTTAAAGTAGAGCAATATTACAGGAACTGGGGCTCTGAATTTAGTGGAGAGGAGCCATAAATGTGTAGGAACCCCGAACAGTTTGGGGAACTTTTTCAGTGTTTGAAAATTTTAAAAAGACATATTCTCTCCCCCAAAAAATACCCATGTTCAAGCTTTGCCCCTGATTCATACTGGCTGTGGGACTCTGGGCAAATCACAACCACTCAGTGCCACAGACAGCATTATGAATTAAGTGAAACTTGAAAAGTAGAGAAGAGATAAGGAGGTTGAAGTAATTTTGCCTAACATGAAATACATCCCTTAGTGAGTGAAAAGAACTAAAAAAAAAAAAGTACTTTAAACCAGTGATGTCAAATGTAAACAAATGCATGAGGATCCCTGAGGGTTGCATACTTAGAAAACCACATAATAACATTATCTGTGTTCTATTGTATTTTTTATTTATTTTGTTAAATATTTCCCAAATACATTTTAATCTGGTTCAGGAGAGTTTCAGGGGCAATGCAGAGGCCCTGTACACCTCTACTTTAAATTATTACTTCAACATAACAGACTATTATTACCAATCATAGGTTGGTCATTTTTTAAAGTACACAATTCTAAAAGAACCTCACAACAGTGGGGAAAACATCTAGATACTATATATTAAATACCTACAAAACAATAAAAAATTTAATGATACAATTTAAAAGGCTGAGCCATGAATACTTCTGCAATAGTTTAAACAGATGTAAAACAGGTTTAGTATTCAATACAACAAAATGTAGACAGTTTCTAAAAAGAAAAAAACACTTCACATCTTAAGGAGATCTACGTAGGAATTTTTACTTTTAATATGTAGTACATATAACTACATCTTATACTTGAAAGTTAATTTATTATATAAAATATTATGCTTTGCAGATCCTTACCAGCTGGTACCTTTTATCCAGAGAGACAACCATTTTTAAAGTTTCCCTATCTCAGCATGTTTCCAACTGTCAGTTCTAACTATCTGCAACCCCATTGTGATATAACCCTTTAAGAGAAAAGGCTCATTAACTGTAAACCTATGAAGTCCACTATCTTTAATGAATTCAAATTAAACCCATGTACTTGCTTTCTCATAACAAAATTCCTCACACATTTTTGTTTTGCAATCCAGACTGTGGGGAAAATACCCAGGTTATGCATTATAAAATGTCAACCCTATAAATGCACTGATTTGAAACATAGTAGTAAAAATACTTTTAAACAAATTGTGGGCATAGGTACTCTTTCCTTGTTTATGGTAGACTTCAAAACAAAGGAAAGCTTTTGCCATGTAACTGGCTCACAGATTTTTACCAGGTTAGGGCAGTAATGGTCAAATGAAAAATGAACAATGAATTCTAACCAACTGCCTATAGCAATTCTCAAGTGAAGAGATTGACCTGAGACCTGTTCCTACTGCAGCAATAAATTTGGTTGAAGAAATTCTACTGTGATTTTAAGGACAAAACTACAAAAAAGTAACAGACAAATTCAAAGGGACATTTTGGTGTAGTGCTCTTGGTCATATTCTAACCTCATGAGAGAGGGAAGAGGGAATTGATGAGAGATGGAGTGGGGGGAGAGAGAGCGAAAGAGAGAGAAAGAACAAATGGATTTTCTAAAGATTCTGGCCAGTCTAATCTTAAAAAATCAAAAGCATTTAAAAATACAACTGGGTAAAAAGTTCTCACTTAGATTAGGAATGTGAAGGATGCATTTATTTAGGGAAAAATGTCAAACTCACTGAGAGATTCTCCCTTCTAATAATGGAAGCAATCCAAAACCACCTTTTCATTGCTTCAGAAGTTTGGAGAGGGAAGGAAGAGGAGGGCTTCCTCACATGGTTTTTTGTCGTTCACTTGTTTTAGTAAATAGGTTTTGTCAATTCAACCTGGATTAATAAGATCTGACCCAACTTTTATATGATGACCTTTGCTGACAACTATTAATTTAATGATTCTTTCATACTATCTATATATCTTGAATTCTCT